GTTACCCAGGGATACCTCCGAAAGGGGGATATATGTAAACAGAACAAAATTGAGCGAGATTTCCAAGGAAAACTTCACTGCCGTCATCCATTGGCGTTATCCTACTGGCCAAATTGAACAAGCGCCTTACCACTTGGAAACCAATCAGAATGCTGCATTGTGACCATTGTAGGGTCATTCCGGCCTCCTCGGTACGCCAGGTTGGACGATTTGTTTCGTGCTCACGAGATTTTTGTCGGCTTATCAACGTTGCAGACGTAGTTGACGTTATTATTTTATGAATTCCACTCGGTTATCCTCCTTTTATCATGCCATCTTCATTGGTTGCCTTTCTGGTCAACTGCTTCTATTGTTTGCGAAGTTTGGAGATACACAGTCAAACATGAATGCTGAAATAATGCGTGGGAGTGCTGAGTTAATGCGGGTCAATGCAGTGATTATGAGTGCAGAAATTAGGGTGTTATTTAAAGCTATCCCCTGACTTGTTATGGGTTATCGCGCGGATTTGGGAAAATGCGTGTTTTCCGTCTGTATTTCTTGCGTTTTTCTAAACTATGAAACGCAGTTAATCACTTTGTCCTTCTTCTTACGGTCTATTTGCTGGACAACAGATTGCTGTGCTATACGTCTTTTCTTGAGAAATTGTAACTGACGTGTTATTTTATTTGTGAGGGAAGACGGTCAAAAATGAAAGGATGGTAATTTGGCCTTCAAATTATTATGACGAGGAATTTAGATTGTAATGTTGATCTGAAGTCAACCTGTCGATCATAGTAAATGAAGTCTAGAAGGAAATCAAAGAACAGCCGTTCTTTCGGCTAACTGAATAGAATGAATAAGGAAAATTGGTAAACGAATGGAAACCTTTGGCTGGATTGGGGATATCGTTTCTGGAGGGCGTTCAAAGAGGAGTAAGGTATATTTTCAGGCCACAATGAGGAACTAAGTTTGACACTCAAGAGTAGATGATGCGGAGATCAGGTGTAAAATCTAGGAAGTAGATATATATATGTTTTCTTTTTCTGCTTTTCACCCCTTCAACGCATTATGGTTTAAGTTGAAAGCTACTTAGGGTGGGAAAAGCAGACAAAAAAGGGAAAGATTGTAATAGGAGAAAATCGGTTTCTTTTCCCCATGTATGTCGCTTTATTTTACCACTGAGCTTTACCCTGTTATCTATTTATTTCCCCCTTTTTGGTCTGTATGATATTGGATATTTTTCTGTTTTAAAGCAAGTTGGCTCGTGCAAGATGGATTGAAACGGCTTTACTAGGTGAGTAGAGAGACGCACTACATCGAAGATCTGGGAGTGTCCCGCAAGACGTAAAGGCTGGCACAAGAAAATCAGTTGGTTTCACAAGCTTGAAAAGAAGTCGAGTGTTATAAAGTGAACGTGGAGTACGCTTCCTTTTATTCTTCAGATTAATACATTAAGTTATACTTAGCAGTAGACGGTTCGTTGCTGGTGTATGTCTGATTAACTGGAGGCAGGTGGATGCAGTCAATGAACCTCTGCTATGAAAACTCCGTTCAGAAGAAAGTTATGCTGAAAATGTATTCTTCAATGAATTGACACTAAATATATGCGCATGTTTACTAGTTGCTCCTGTTGTGTAATAATGGATAGGGAAGTTTCTATTATCGATGGAAACCTAGGGAACCGAAGCCCGAACTAGTCTTCGGGAAGCGATGGGATCCACACAAGAGTGCTCTACTATCAAGCCTATTCAGATGCTCTTTTCCGGTATGCAGGTTACGCTATGATTGTAAGCGGGTGGATGTCGTCCCAATATACAAAGGTTGAAACAAACTATTTCCCTCTAAATGCAGACGAATCTGCCTAATATTTTCAGCGGTGTAGATCATGGAGAGAGTGGTAAAGGATTTACCTCTTGATTACTTATTTAGGAAATAAATCTTAAAGTACCGCCAACATGACTTTCTGCTCAGCAAGTCTTTTAGCTTCTATTAGCTGGAATCTTCCGTTCATCGGAGGACGCCCACTCACATTATTTTACTAGCCTCAAAGCTTCCATTATTGTTCCTATACTGTTTCCTGCTTTCATCAGTGATCAGCCGGGATCTCTCGACTGCCTTTTACCATTCTTCATCTGCTCTAGAGTAATCGCATACTACCACTAATCCTGCCTTTCTACATGAAGTATGTGATATGCCCTAAGGTAGACATCACGGTAAGATGACAGTTACGCAGACGTAATTTTATATAACAACGACTGCGGATACATATTCATGCTGGCGGTACTCACGCATAATATCGTTCACTGATTCCCACTTACAAGTACCAACCCCTTTAACATGCGCGATGAAAGTGAAATACTAAATAGATATAAACAAATATGTATTTGTAAAGAAAATATAATAAAAGGCTCACAGTTGTTCGTGCCTAGCCGTATCTTAAATGGATACGCCTCCGTATGTCACCATGCTTGAAGAAAGGTTTCCATCACTAAACTGCAATAGATGCGTTGCATAGTCTTCTGCCTGCATAACGTATTGACACCAATAAACCGGAAAGTTCATCGTCCAAGAATTCGTCTGCAGAATTTGTTAATCTTTGCTGCTACATCTGCGGCACATACATCTCCGAATCCGTGTAGTATGCGAAGGATGTTTGACCGCATATTAAGCATTTCAGGTATGTACCTGTCACATGGTGCTGCGATGGAGACTGCCGATGTGCTGCGTGAAGTGTTGGAGGTATGTGATCACGTCCAGCGTTGGCAATGCCGAAGCACACGACTAGCTATAAGGATTAACTATGCAATAAGCAAATACCTGTACCAGAAGCAAGTGTCTACATGGATAACGACAAGTTTTGAATGCTCTGCAGGCGCATTCACACGATAACATCTACTTCAACGGTGTGATCGTTGTCCATGATGAACACGTAGTCGCTACTTTCATATTCGATGTACGTGTTCCTCCTTCTTCTAAAATCCTGAAGAACCTTGCTGGCTGCATACGGTGTTAGGCAACGCAGAAGGGGAACTAATGCATCCGGGCGGTCAAACTTATAAGATTTTGCCTGCGCGATAGCAGCCTCCGTTTCTTTTCTGTACGAACTCCGTGCATTCCAGTCTTGGGCTTTAGGAATACTTTTATGCAAGACGTCAGATCTCCTGAGGTACCTCTTCAGATGCCTATGGGAACTCTCAACACGGTTGTTTGCGTTATTCCCCAGAGTCAGAACATCGTTGTTAAACACCGCACTCCACATACGTTTTCGATGCAGCCAGTATCGGTTGACGTGTTCGCCGACGTTGCGGTCTAATCTACTAATGATTCTGTAATACCTGTAGAACCTGAGAAATTATAGCAACACACTTCTTACCTCCCAGTGTATTCACACGACAGCAAACTATACAGATATGCTTTCACTATCGAATTCTGGGTCTGTAATTTGTGCTACCGTAGTATTTTTTCAAACTCACTCTTTTACACAACGCCCGGCATAAATGGAAAGCACAAAGCACGATGTTAGCTTGCCTGTGAGTCTCTTAGACGGCGGAGATTTCCGCGCGTGAGCAATCCATAATAAACGTCTGAGTCATCCTTGTCTCCTGCATAACTTCTCTAAAACTATCCAGGATCCATATTACATCTCTTTTCAGCTCTTTCTTTGTCCATGCAAATTGCACAGGACGTCCGCGACCGCAGTTATCAGTAATCACCAACTGAAACAATCGGTACCTATCTAATTATCATTACATAAAGAATTTACTCTCCCCGGTTGGTGTTATAAGTGGAGTCGATGCCGACTTCTTCCGAATATTGCTGGTATAGTCGTATTTGCTCAGTCGAGGCAAAGCACACTATGGATAACACCTGAGAACTACCGTTCTCCGAATAAAATTTCTTCAAACTTCCCCTCTTACTCAAAAAGTCGAATAACTTCGACTGCGTCCCACTATCTAAACAGAATTATATTCATAATTGCAAAACAACCTTTAATGACTTTCAACTTCATGTTTTACATCCTTTGCCGTAACTACCTTGTTCCATTCATCCATAACATGCAAAATGACATCATCTGTAGAGGATGACTGCTGTAAAATAGGCCTCAAATTCTCCTTCTCTTCTCCTGTTAGACGTCTGCTCCAGGCATCATAAACCATAAATGACTGGGTACAAGGATGGTTATGAACCATTTTGTGGGATCTAACAGTATACTCATCCACCTTCAATGCAAAGCGAAACACTGACGGACAGTTTTGAAACTTCGACCTAAGACTATTCTCATAGACAGGAGGAATTACGGTTTTTTTTATCAAACCCGTACCTTGGGGTTTGCGTTTTACACCGAAAGTACACTTAAACACGATAACAGTGTACTTCAAATGAGGATCTCCGGATCCCTTGCTTTTCAAATGCACACAGTGAGTGCAAGTAACCTACGTTCATCGCAAAATACAACGGTTACATACTCTCGGAAATTCATTGACTGCTTTTTCAATAGCTTTCCAGCTGAAGAGTGACTTCAACGACACCACTTCCTGGAATGCTCCAGTCATGTCTACTGAGACCGCAGCATTTTCAGAAGCTTGGGATGTCCTACTTAAAAATGCAGATTAGTCATTAAATAACGAAAGAAAATCCAGTAGCAAGCATATTACAGGGGGAGTGACAATTCTCAGTGCACAATAATGTTACAAAACCAACTGGTGCTCAATGAAAGCTAGAAACATACGGGATCAGAGCCACCGTTACGTATCTTGATATATACTTCCTAAAAAACAAAAGAAATTAACCACTTGTTTCCAAAAAGTAGTTGTTGACAATATAAATCTCTTACAACAAAATATCCCAGTATTCGGAGTATATTACATACACTTCAGCCTATCCCATATGGCAAACTACCTGAGCACGATTAGATATGAGAAACCCGCCTCCCTTATGTGGCTCAAGGTCGCTTGGAAACAGAAGCCAGCCAAATTCGATTTGGAAATGGCTTATAGTCACACTCCTGAAATTATGCTGAAATGAGACAATTGAGAGGACTTTCCCCGATTAACCGCAAAATTTACGCAGTAGCAGAATTATTTAAGCGTGCACGTTTAAATGTGCTTCATTTACGCATAATTTCAGCCTCATTTCCGCACCATCCGCGTTATTTCAGCGGTGCAGGCAAATTCTTGGTAAAAATTTCCTACCCCTTGTGCATGGATGGCAATGTATACTCCATTCACAACATAATTTCAGCACTGACCGCTTTATTTGCGCAAATTCCAACCTTATTCACCCACCATTTCGGCGCTGACCGCTTTATTAACGAAAATCTGGCCTTATTCACGCATTACTTCGGCGCTAACCACTTTATTGATGCAAAATTTCCGCATTCTGTGATTAAATTACGCAAAATGTCACATTCTTTCCGCACATTTCCTCGAGAAATGAAAAAGTAAGCGTCGGTTCAGGGTGTTTATATTTATAGGAAGTATTTACAAGAAGGTTTCATCCTTCAGAGACGCTTCCAAGAAACCCAACTGGTCCTCCGTTACCAGTGGAAAGTGGACACGTAAGTCATCTATTGAAATGACACTAGAGGACGCCGTTCGGTTCAGCGTTTTGGCAGAGGAAAGTGAAATCAGCTTCATTGCTACTTTCAAATTTTCAGCCATTCCCTTTGAATACTATGATATGTGTGTGCATTAAAACTTACGCATAATTTTGTGTTCCGAATTCAGCACCCCTTTCATACACGATTCCAGTCTAGGGGACCTACGGGTGTTCAACGTAAACTGTTGGGTAAACTTACAGGCTGCAAAGGTGGCCGTCATTGCGGGTTTGTGGTGGTACGAGGAAGATACAGCAAATTTTCCTCCACCCAATGTGCTGTAGAAAGTCAGGCGACATTTGAAAACTGACCTTGCGACTGGTGACAGAAGTGGCTCCAGGTACTGCGTCAAAGGCGATTTGCTTTGACTGCATCCTGTCGGCATTTCAGCCACATATGTGTTGGCCGAGTTGTACAGGAAGTCAGAAGAAGGCTTTTGACAATTCTCTGGAGAATCATTATCGGTTAACAATTCGCTCATCTTTTAAAATTCTTAGCTTCCGTTTGAAGTGTATCGTCATCTGTAGTAGAATCCGCTGGCCTCTTGAAGTGGTCAATAGTTTAAAGAGATTTTCCACTTCCTGGAGTGAAGCTAAAACGAATATTACGGTAATTAAGACTTACCACACTCATTCAATTTCTTGCACTTCATCAAAGACCAGCAATGACTTTGAGAATAAAGCAACGGACTGCATCACATGACGGCCCTCAAATTCAAACCAATGATGGACACATAGATCACATTGCTACAAGCCATCATTGGAGAGGGTTGGTGGATGATTGCCGCTCATTTTGGAGTACCAGCTTGAACTCTGATCATGCACCAGTACGGGCTCGTGTATGGCTGCGCCTTACTGGTCGCAGGAAACAGGCGATGGTAAAGCCTGTCCATGGTCGATTGGAAGACGAGAACGTCAAGTATTTATTTAGGAAGGAGTTAGCTTAGCATTTAGCTGGTCATGGCAGCGATGCTCACTCATCCTGAGGGAACATGGTATAACATTAAGTCTGCTGTAGAAACAGGAGTATAGACAGTTCGTAACCTACATCCGAAGGTTAGCAAATGTCTTTGGATTTCCGCAACCTCATTCGAACTGGTTGACGCGAGAAGACTGATTCCAGCTGCCTGTGAATGCGATGAAGAGCGAAAGCAGCTCAAATATAAAGTGACCAAGAGTCCTCATAATGATCGCGAGTAGTGGTAGGTGGTGAGAGCAAGAGAGACGGAGAGGGCGTCAGCGTTGGGTAATGCTCAGTACTACTTAGACTTATAAAGGATACCAGTAAGAAGAAGACGATGGTTAACGAAACCATTACCGAAAAGGATGGAACCCTGATAACCTCCTGAGTCAGAGAGCTATAACTTTGGGCGGAACACTTCGAAGCACAGTCCGGCTAGTCATCAGCAACGCTTCAGTCGCACGACAAACAGTCGACCTGAACCTGAACGGGATGCAGATGTTGGTCCATCAACTCTACTTGAAGTTGAGATGGTTGAAGACAGGAAATTGCTAGTTAAAGTGACGGAGATACTAGGTCGTAAATGGGAATCAGAGGTGGTGCTTTCAGTTTGGTGTACTTCGCTGATCATTCCAGTCGATAAGAAAGGAGAGAAGTCTTCTTGTGACAATCATAGGAAAATTAGTTTGACTAATATTGTGTCCAAGTTCCTAGGGTCTGTAGTTATTCGATATCTAAGTGGAGCTGGAGAAGACCACGCAAGCTTCAGGCCTGGTCGAGGGTGCATCGATCACACTTCTACCCTCCGACGGTTTCTGGAACACAGGCATACACACAAGCCAGTGGCCGACTGCATAATACAAATCAACCAGAAGACCTCCAGGGAGCGGAGTAGGTCAGTTCCTGTGAATTCAGACGTAGCCGAGCTTATGTCCATTAGTACTTCTATAACGAAGTTAGCTAGGAACAGTGACAGTGGACATCCATAGGGAACACCACTAGCTGTCGTCAACTCATTTGACAACTCTCATAAGCCCTTACACGGCTGCGTGAGTTTGAGTAGAGAGCTTTGATAAGCGTTGCATACTTTCTCGCTACTCCGTTCACAGTCAGACACTGTCACAACAGCTCACGAGCGACAGACTGAAATGCCGCCTTCAGGTCAAGAATTATGGCAAGTGTCGGCCACTGGCTTGTGTGTATGCCTGTGTTCCAGAAACCGTCGGAGGGTAGAAGTGTGATCGATGCACCCTCGACCAGGCCTGAAGCTTGCGTGGTCTTCTCCAGCTCCACTTAGATATCGAATAACTACAGACCCTAGGAACTTGGACACAATATTAGTCAAACTAATTTTCCTATGATTGTCACAAGAAGACTTCTCTCCTTTCTTATCGACTGGAATGATCAGCGAAGTACACCAAACTGAAAGCACCACCTCTGATTCCCATTTATTACCCAGTATCTCCTTTACTTCGATCAGCAATTTCTATTCCCCGTCGTTGAAAGTTTTGGGTGATGAACTGTCAGGTCCTACTCCTTTGCATCGCTGGCTGTGTAACCTATTGTAACCTATATTTGAAATAGACAGGCGTCCAGTGTTTCAGAGGTTTTCACTGGTTCTGCCACTGATGTCAGTCAGTGGGAATTAATAACTTTAAGTGAAACATAATTCTTCAATACAGGGCTTTCACGAAGATGGAGATGCATTATTATAAACCAATTTTTTATGAATCTGAGACTGTTTGAAACTAACAATTATGACGTTCCGTGTGGAAGTCTGTTTCCATCTTCGGGGAAATAATCAAATTTCTCATTCTTAGTAGGTGTATATATGATTAGTCATTCATCTCATTGTCGAATCTGGTTTGTATTACAATTGTTTCAATCACTATTGATTATTAGTCATTTATTGTGAACTGATAAATGGTATATGAATGTGAGCCAGCGTGCCTATCTATTGTATTTCAGACACACTTCACTGCACAACAGAAATCATAGGTGTCATGATAGTCAGTGTATGAAGAATATATACTTTCCTTAGAAAAAAGTATATGAAATATGAGAAATAGGATGAAATGCTTGGCCTTGAAAGAATTAATATCGACAAATCACAGTAACTGCGTTTCTTGCATGCAGTGAAGTGAATAATAATAATAATAATAATAATAATAATAATAATAATAATAATAATAATAATAAAGATATCGATTCGATTCACAACACAATTTTTGTTATTATTGATGAATTGTGGCTAGCAGCAGAATCCACAATGTGGGTTTTATCCTATTTGGGACTTATCAGCTGGACGTATGAGCTTCCCAGTGAGCAAAGTTACTCCCACTAAGACTGGAACCCTGGACTGTTCGCTTCAGACGGTAGAGCATTATCCACTAGGCCACCAAGTCACGTTAACAACTCCTTGTGTGACGGGTATGATTTTAATGTTGCTGCTTATAGTACCCCGTCATTTATTGGACCGAACTGAATGGTCTATGTTGGCATAAGGGCTCCTGCGCAGATGTTTTTATATTGCCTGTCGTTTCAATTGTATAGTGATGATAGGTGTTCGATAGCAGGGGAATCCATGACGCGCGTTTCGTAGCAATCAGTATCATACAAACTGTGCCTGTCGCATAAGAAAAGCCCAATGTGTGTCGGTGGCCTAGTGAATATCGCCCTTGTGTTTGAAGGGATCGCTGTTGGGTCCGAGTCTTAGTGGGAACAACATTGCTCACTTGGAGGCGAGTGCATCCGGCTGCGCATCATGGATTCTCCTGCTGGCCACCATCCGTCATTAATATCAAAGCTGTAGCACAGGAAACATCCATGAATCTGCGTAGGAACCCTTATGTTAATAGAGACCAATCAATTAGGTCCAATCTAGGACAATTTTTGTTGCTGTCGATGGTGATGATACAAGTAGGGGAAATAAGAATGGAAAATAGTGAATAAAACTTTACTGCTCATTCTTGTTTTATCTTTTTAAAATACCTATTTATTGATCAGAAACTGACAAGGTGCAGCCAACCGCACTCTATCTGCTTTATACAAGCTGTTGAAATTCGCCTTGGCTCAATATATTTTTGCAAAACTTCCGTTCCATCGAAACCAACTTTGTGTCAAGTTTCTGGCGAATGTAGTACGATTCCTGATGTGCCTCCTCATCTCTGAATATCTTCTGAGATTTTCCGAATTATTAGTTGAATGGAAGCCACAATTCGTTAGAAACACAGTCTATTTTCCTCAACATTTACATTCCCTCATTCGAGGTTTTCCATACATAGATTGCATCAGAGTCCGGACAAGTGATTTCGAAAATACAATCCCGCTGGTTTTCTGTCTATGTTTTTTCCCTGGCTTGCAACAAGGCAGAAAGTATATTATTCGTTATGTTATGTTTATTAAGATTTCCTTTTGTGGCTTTCAAGGTCTTCTCTAAACACAGAATCCCCTCAGTGCTAATCCACTTATTTGGAGGACATTTTAGATCATTTTACATCACATATTTTTATGATTCGCATGATAGATCGTTTTGGATAGTTATTTGCTACATGCGTAGAGTGGACAAACTAGTCAGTTTGGTCGTTGGCGAGACTTCAAACAACCATCAGTTTAGTGGTTCAGGCTTGCACGGAACTACAATCGATATATCTGTCAGAATTTAACTGGTTTTCTAAATATATTTATCTTCATTTAGTTGTTATTCTGCTACCTTTTGCCCACATAGTTCAGATAGCCAGTTGGTTTACATTGGATTCAATCTTTCGGAGCATGCAACATTTTTCGATGCACTTTTATGTGTCTGAATAGTTCTTCCAAGTGATCACGTTTAACGATAATAAAGTATCAACATCATATCTTAACCAAATGGTCTTGTCCAGTACTGATTGCAGTTGTCTGTAGAATTCCTCCTTCTTCTCTTCATTTGTACTATTTGTAGGTGCGTAGCATTGTACGACTGTGACTTTCCTTCATTTTGAGTTGAATCTTGCTGTCATGGT